TTGAATCTTGAATTACCTTAGTGCTTCCTTGCTTTAATCTTACTGTAATTTAATATTCTGGTCATTTTTGATAAAAATCAGATAAAGTTGCTGAAATCTTCGAAAGATGCGAATTTTTGATAACTTTTTAGCTCTAAATTTGTAATGCACAATTTGTTTTTATTTTGATGATGATATTTCATTTATAAAGTAATTTTAATTAACCTATGTCATTGACATTATTTATTTAACTAAAACTTTCATAATATTTCTTAAAACTTTGCATAATGTTCAATAATAAAGTCTGGTTTATTTTAGCATTTGTTATGATGAGTTAAATTAATCTAAATCATAACAGTTAGCATTTATAATGTGTAGTGATTTTCTTTAATTTATTGCTACTTATTTTATAGTTGTAGTCGTTGATTATCTGTTTGTCTCAGGTGATAAATTTATTATGAGAGTAATTTTGATTTAAGAGAGCCGAATTAAATTCAATTGAAATCAAACTAACTAGAATGTCGTTCATAAAATTCCATTGTACTATTATTTATATCTAACATTATTTATCACTTTAGTAATGCATTATTCTAACTATATCATTTTCTTTCTGTATTATCTTTTTGTTCATAGCGATATGCAATTCTGTTAGGATTATTGTTTACCTTTTTTTTTTAAAAGAATAATTTCACAAATATAAAATTGTTCTCTTTTAAGATGGAAATATCAAATCTTACAGCTTTTAGTGCATTTCTTCACAATTAAATGTTAGTGGACGTTTTTATAGTTACCTTATGGAGGAGAGAGGGATTCATTATTTGACAAGATTTCCTGTCCAACATTAGTGGACTATTTCCAGTTTTCACCTTGCAATAGAAATTATTTTCAGAGAATTGAAATAATCATTCGTTGTATTACATCTTTCAAATTCATTGATATCATTTTCATGCTTCAATTCTGACTTTTGATTACGTCCATTTTATATAATATTAATGGAAATATTTCATACTTTTGAAGTTATCAGTAATTAATTTGTATCAGATATGTTCTATTCACTTATTTGGGAAACAGGTGAAAATTTTACTATTGGGCTCAGGGGAATCTGGAAAATCAACATTTATTAAACAAATGGTTATCATAAATGGTCGAGGTGAATTCACTGCTGATGAAGTGCGTGCATATCGACAGCAAATCTATCAGGTTGGCAATTTGATGAGTTTCAAATTAGGCTAGGAAATTGTATAAACTATAAATGTAATGTATATGAAGAAAATAAACCGTGGATTTTTTAACATTTGGCATTTAATACGAGATAATAAACTATTTCTAATGATTCTGTTACTTTCAAGCAATTAATTTAAATAAAATTTATGAACTTGTAGAAGGTTGAAAATTTGCAGAATATAATAACGGCAATGAGAGTACTTTTGGATGCACGCCAAAAGCTGGGATATGCTTGGAAAAATCCTGAGAGGCAAAGGAATGTTGATGCTATTATGAGGTGAATTAATGTTTTGAATCAATCATTGAGAACAAATTTGAAATATTGCCTTTGATTTTAAGTAGTTTTTAGGTTTACAGCATCAGATATGATGCGTGGTATTGATCAGTCTACGTTTGCTGAAATGGCCCCATTAATACGAGATTTTTGGGAGGATGCATCAATCAAGCAAACATATGAACAGCGCAATCTTTTTCAGATTGTTAGTTTTATTGCTATGTGGTATTTCAATTTTAATTAATAAAAATCAATATCTTGAAAGATTGAAAATTTTGAAATTCATTAAGGGGAGATTTTTAGATAACAAACCATAGTACAGAAGTGGTTTTTTTTTTTTTTTTTTTAATCTTGTTAATGAATGTAGTTTTTTTTTTTGCTTATTTTTAAAACAATATTTATGTAGTTTGATTTGTAATTTTTATTTTAGTCTGATTCTTGTATGTACTTTTTCGATCATATCAATCGAGTAGCAATGCCAGATTATTGTCCAACTAATCGGGACATATTATTCTGCCGAAAAGCTACACGAGGAATAACTGAACATGTTTTTGAAATACAGCGAGTTTCATTTAGGTATTAATTTAAGTAATGACAAATTAGATATTAGTCATCCATTGATTAGTGAAATTTTTGGAAATGTCGATAAAAAATTAATGTCAGATATAACATTTAAAAAATTCCTTGTCATAATTTTTTCAATCTTAATGAGCTTGAAAAAAGTATCAATTTGTAGCAAAAAAAAAAGCAAAATGAAATTAAAAAATAATTTTTAATTTTAGTTTTACATTTGAATTAATTAAATTGAGGAGAATTTGATAGATTTATTGATGTTGGTGGACAACGATCACAGCGACAGAAATGGTTTCAATGCTTTGAGGGTATTACAAGTATACTATTTATGGTTGCTTCATGCGAATATGATCAAGTAATTTTGTTTCAATTTCAATTTCTCAATAAGTAGTACATTCTGATTGTAATATTTTGGTGATTAAAATTTTTCTGCAATTTTTTTCTTTTATTATTGAACTTATTTGAAAAAGGGTTTAAAAACATGCCTCAATGGGTGTATTTTCCAATATTAGTTTATGCTAAATATTCTTTTTCATTATAGGTAATTCTTGAAGATCGAAGGACGAATCGTGTTGCTGAATCGCGATCTGTTTTTGAAACAATTGTTAATAATAAATCATTCGCAAATGTTTCCATAATATTGTTTATGAATAAGAGTGATCTGCTTGAAGGTAAATGAAACTGTGATCTTTACATGATTTGTAATTATAATGTTATATTTTAGGCAAATAAATAATTTTTGCGCATTGAATTATGGAATTAGGATGGTAGCGTAGCAGCTGATAATATTAATTTTTCTTTTTTCTTTTACATGAAATATAGTAAATAATGTTTCAGAGAAGGTTTCAAAATCAGATATTCGACAGTACTTTGCTGATTTCACCGGCGATCACAATAATTTGCGTGACGTTCAATTCTTTTTGGTGGATAAATTTGAGAATTGTCGACGTGATAGACGACGGCCATTTTTTTATCATTTTACAACAGCTGTCGATACGGAAAATATCAGACGTGTATTTAACGATTGTCGTGAAACTATTCTGGAACAAAATTTGAAAGCATTAATGATGCAATGATTATGTTGATGATGTGATACTGTTAATGGAGATAATGATAATGTATGAATGAATATATACATCGATAAGTTTTTTTTTTCCTTTTCTAATTCGATAAAAATTTGATCAGTCAAATTTTATACATTGCACCGGAATATACTGATATTATCATTGAGAATTTCGTTCCAACTTTTGGAAGTTAAAAAAAGTTGACATTTTTTTGCTTTCTTTTAGTTTTTAATTGCTTCTAATTTTCAATAACTTTAAATTATCTTAATCAGACATTTTATCAAGTGTACAGAAATTTTATTTCTGAAAATTAGTTCTACCTAATCTTTCGTTTTATATTTTGTGTTATCGATTGCAACCGGCAATAATTTACAAAAACATATTATAAGACATTAATGAATTATTTCTCTATTTTTTATTTTCATCGCATACAGGAAACAGCATATGGAAACGAATTTTTTTTTGAAATATTGTCGTATTTACTTAGGTAATTTTCGATAAGGTACTATTTTCTGCTGATCATAAACAATATTTATATCAATTTGAATCGTGAAACATCGACGTCTAAATGGCGAAAGAGTAAATTATGATTTTATCAGATCTTTCTATCTAAGCTGAACTATTCAGATCAATGATGAAATAAATCTCGAATTTTTACTATTTTTGACGTCAGCATAGTCATCATAGTCATCATAGCCAGGATTATTCAGTTACATTCAATATCGTATGTTTAGCCGGAATGAAGCCTAATTGTTGAGATCGGATGACCCACAGCCTAACTGCTGAGATTAGATGATCCACAGCCCAATTACTGAGATCAGACAACCCACACCACCGAAATACTGAAGAGGTAATCAGTTAAATGAGCCGTCTCACGGTGTTATTATGGTGCAACTTCGTTGGTTGTTAAATGACTTACTTGTCGTTATCATTACATCGATTTATTCCGATTAATTAATTGACAATTGATCCGTTTCCGGTTATTATGTCCAGAGATTCCTAAGTCCTGACAAAAATTCTTATAACTGTGTTGTAAAGTTTCAGTAAAGTATTTAAAAAAAAAGATACATTATCTATTTTCTCTGCATTAAGTACAATTCTCGGACTCTTCATACTCGGCATTCTTTCATTGTCAATTTTTTTCCAATATTTTTTTTTAAGATCGGGAAAGAAAGATGCTAATTTTGCCAACATTTAGCAGTTATTTGCACGGTGTATTCATTTACGAGAATTTATTTCGGTGTCTTCAATTTGCTTTTATCTTATAATGAGGACTTTTTATTACCATTGTTTCTGGAATAATTTGTGATAATCATTATGAAATGTTTCAGTACGGATCGTTTGCAATGTCTTCGTTACGAACAATCAAGCCTAATCGACAAACGTACGCGATTAGTGTAGGTTGGTTAAGTTTATTAAAATTGTTTGAAGTGAAGAAAGAAAAAAGAGTCCTATTACAGTCATAATAACTCTTATTATTTGATGCTTCAGGATTGCTACGGTATTATACGAATACTCGAAGTGCTCTACGGATTAATAAAGATACAAAATTGATAATCCAAGGATTCACCGGAAAACAGGTAAGGATGAAGTTTTATATTTATCTGTTAATGATAACCAGTAGATAGCAGATGTGTGTGTATATACCAGCAGATGTATCAAATATACTAATTGATAGATTAAACGTGGCGTATTTTGACTTCTCAATTTTGGGCATTCACAAGTGGTACATGTGTACCATTATATTCGGTGCACAATCATCTAAGTTTCGTGTAAAGCGTTGAATAACTGGATGACTTTGTTAGTCATGATGATCCTCAATGTTTCTGGAAGGTTTAAATGATCAAAATAACTAACTTGACGAAAGGTCATGTGTTTTTTTTTATTTTAGGCTACTTTTCATGGACAGCAAATGATCAATTATAATACTAATGTTGTTGGAGGTGTTTCTCCAAGCAAGGCCGGTACAATGCATCTTGAAAGACCTGTATTTAGTACTGTTAAAGAAGTCAGTTTAAATCTTGTATTTCATCGATTTTAGTTGTAAATAATTGCCGGCTGTAACGTTTATTGTTTTTGCTTTCAAAAAAGATTAGCGTATATAGCTATGTTGCACCGATACTCTATTTTGACAGTTCAAATTTCATTGAAATGCTGCCATGCTAAATGATCAGATCTAATTTGCAATTTTAATTGTATATCGATGTGTTTTTCACTCTACATCAATTTATTTTTCGAGTGTATTATGGAATTTCAGGCTCGTGAAGCAACAGGTGCGAATGCGTCGGTTATTTATGTACCAGCACGTTTTGCAGCTAAAGCGATCGAAGAAGCGATAGATGCAGAAATCCCGCTGGTTGTTTGTGTTACCGAAGGTATTCCGCAACAAGATATGGTTAAAGTTCGAAATAAACTGATGAAACAGAACAAAACTCGTCTGCTTGGTCCAAACTGTCCTGGGATAATTTGTGTATGTTCCTCTTTTATTGAATGTTGGGTCGTTAGAAGGTAGCTGAAGGAGTGTTTCATTAATTGTAATTCAAATAGCTATCCTGGACTTTCTGTTTTTTCATAGCAGTATAATTTTTTTTTCTAAAATTATTAAAATAATTTCTTTCTTGTATATTGATATAATTTTTTGCCCAGGTTTTTAGCCGGATGAATGCAAAATAGGTATTATGCCGGGACATATACATCGGAAGGGAGTTATTGGTGTTGTTTCACGATCTGGAACTCTTACATATGAAGCAGTCCATCAAACAACGGTTTGTGGCCTTGGGCAAACATTATGCGTTGGCATTGGTGGTGATCCATTCAACGGCACAAATTTCATTGATTGTCTTGATATTTTCTTGAAGGATCCGCAAACCAAAGGTTATTTTTTGACATTGCAATTTCCAAATCTTATTTTTTCCATTTCAATGAATTAAAGTGAACGAAATATACTAATGTTTTTGCAGGTATTATTTTAATTGGTGAAATTGGTGGGCAAGATGAGGAAAAAGCTGCTCAATTTTTGAAGGAAAATAATACGGTATTTCTTTTTACTGAGCATTCAGCATAAAAATATGACAAAAAAAATGTATAGTTTCCTTTCAAAATATTTCACGACATGACTCAAAATTGCTTAGGGATCGAATGCTAAACCGGTCGTATCATTCATTGCTGGCCAGACTGCTCCACCAGGCCGACGAATGGGACATGCTGGTGCAATTATTGCGGGTGGTAAAGGAACTGCTGCTGATAAAATCGAAGCTTTGAAAAGTGTTGGCGTCCTCGTAAGTCATTTGAAGAGTTTCCAAGTTATATCAGAACTCGTTTTATTGAATCCTATAATATTATTCACACATGGTAATTTGTTGTCTGGTTCAATCAACGTTCAATTAACGTCGAGATCAATCGACGGGAAACTATCGGGCTGCTTTTGTTTTTTCTATTTTTTTAGTTATTGTACGATTTATATTATCAGTTCAGAGAAGTCTTTACTCACTGATAGCTTGACGAATGAATAAATGCAAGTAAATGGTTGGATGTTTAAAAATGAATATAGTTTATTGCATCACTATGTATTGAATGGAATATCCAACGGTGACTGGCATTTTGCAAATAATGGCTCTTGCAATTGCAATATTCAGGTTTCGGCATCGCCTGCGCAGATGGGTGCAATGATGGCGAAGGCTTTGAAGAAAATCTAAAACTGTTGCAGAAGCACAAGTCCTCAGGTTACGCGGTTATTTTCGAAGCGTTAAATGGAAGTGTTTGTTGATATTGATCAGTATTTTTATTGATAGGCCGTTAACAGCTAATATTCAGCTCAATGTTTGCGTTAGCTCTTATTTATTCCTTTTTTCTTCATCTGTGCTAAGTATCCTTCATTTTCACCACAGTTAGGATACTTGGGATCATATGTGTAGCTGTTTACTACATACTTTTAATTACATTAGGCAGGTATTTTCTTTACTATTATTAATTAATATAAAAGTTTCCAATAGTTCGACATGAAAATATTTCAGATTACTTTGCGGAAAGTACTTTAAATTGTTGAAGAAAAAAAGAAATACGAGTTTTAACATTATCACGATTTTAACGCTAATATTTTTTGAGATCAGCGCTCTACGGTAATTCAAGAAAATACCGTACATTCCGCTATGTTTTTTATGATTTTTGTTAAATCCGTTGATTACATACACTGAAATTGAGCATGATCCATTCCGTTAACTTTGAAGTAAGTTTGGATCTCTTTGATCTCGTTGGTGTCATTTTATGTATGTTTCTTGAGGGATAATGAATGGGGAAGTTCAAAATGAAATAAATTCGGACAGTGAAATATTACGCATTCTTGGTGACCATAGTCTTGTTTGTTGCATTTTTGATTTGCGTAAGGAAGAAAACAAGGATTTTAATACTTGTTTCTTCTGCTTTTGTGAATTCTTTTTTGCAATTGCTTTGGGTTAACTATTTTTACAACCTTGTAGGAGTTAAATTCTTTGAATTCATGAGATAATCCAAATTTCTTCTGCCTTTTCGTTATGCTTAGAAGATGCCTCGCTCATTTAATCATGAAATTTTTGCACACATATGATATTATAAGGAATGTTTTAAATGTTAAATAAACTTTGGATGTCATTGATATTTTTCAAATGTTCATATCAGTGATATGGATGCGAAGTAACATATAAGTATTGGATTTGAAACAACGATATTATGATATAATGAAGGACATTATAATCACTACAATGAAAACGATGATTTGAAGTCTGCCTGTCCTGATTGAACTTCTACTTTTGGGTAACTCGGCTACCGTAAGCATGATATCAATTGCAGGATCAATTTTTATATCGTCGTCACGTACCCATAACTCATTGAATACGTACACTCGTCTGTCGTTCTCGTTCTCCCGAAAACTAATAGTTTATGGTGGTTTTTGTTGTTTACCGCCCGTATTTTATGACATATTCATGTTCATAAAGCATTAGCTGTGTGGATTCACACAGGAAAATGTGGAAAGAAGAAGAGATTTATAGAATTTAATTAATAAAAATTATTTACCTGATTTCATCATTTTCCGTAACAGCCTTTGTAATGAACCCGTGAGATTCCAAAAGTGCCAAGATTGACTTGCGACCCAGGAAATGACCTGAAAATTTCAAGATGATAGTTTGGTTTTTGCATAATTCACAATGTGAATGGATTTTATGACTAATCTTCCTGTATATATTGAGTAAAAGAATGTTGTCTTATCTCGGAAACGCTATAAAACATTTTGATAGGATGATATAATCGTAATACCAGTACAGCACGTATAACATTTTTGATTTCCAACAAATCAAATTCGATTTCCATCCTTTCTCATCATAGTTATACAATACAAAAATTGTATGTCGTTTTAAACAACAAAAAGTGGTAATAAACTGAAACTTGAAGTAGAACCTTTTTTTTCACCTGCTTTTCATCAAAATTTTAAATGAAATCCTATTTTAGCCTTATTTTTTTAACCCTATCCAATGCTACTTATTTTATAAAACTGAACAGATATGTATGCGTATTTTTCGATGCAACCAAGGTGAGATTAAAAAAATGTCATTTCGGAAAATTATAAATTGCTACTCAATATAGTATTCATAAGATTATATAGCATTCCTCTGTGTATGCTAATCAATAAGATCATACTTATTAGCAATACTTCAAATCTCTAGGTAACTTCAATGAATGAAGTAATTGAGAGTTAGATAGATTGTCGTCTTCTGTATAGGAATGAAGAAAGTTATATTAAGCGTAATTTATCTTTTTTAAAAATTTTCTATCGAAAATATTGTAATTTTCAGATTATGCGCTAAACAGGATAGCATTGTTATCCTTCAGAAAATTAGCTCCTAACTTTTCCCTGATAAAATTGAAGTAACTACTAAATGTTCATGAAAAGAATAGCTTTAGCTTCTTTTTTATTTGAAAAATTAGAAAAGAAAAGATTGCTAATCTACAATTTCTTTGTTTTATTTCTTATCCTTTTTTTTTTTGGTACCGTTGAATTTCCTTTTTTTTTTTAATCATTGAATAGATAGACTAATAAATGAATGAATATGAACGGTTGAGTGAACGAATAAATAGGTGAATGAATAAATGGATGGATGAATAAAGTGAACTAATGAATGAATGAGTGAATGAATGAATGAATTAATGAATTAATTAATGAATGAATGAATGAAATGGATGAATGAATGAATGGTTGTATATTATGAAGAATTTAAAGAGTAACTGTAAGCATTGAATATTTCAGAAAAAAAAAAGGAACTGTAGAATTTCAGTAAAAAATATCATTTGAAATAATTTAACATGAAAAAAGAAAGAATAATACAAATAAATAATTTCAATATTTTTCTTTTATCAAAAATATCCTACCAGCTCCTAAAGCGAAGAAATATTGATTGCCCACTTTCCAGCGTAATAATTTAGCAATACGATTAGCCATTCTAATATTTCGCCGTTCGATGATATCTTCACGAAGTTGATCATCAATCTATAGAATTTTTCTAATTTAAAATGCAATATTTAATATTTGGAAATTTTAAAACAATTTTGCTTTCAATATTTTGAGAAAACTTTTTTTTTTTAAAATTCAATATCATTAATCATAATGTATCATTGAAATATTGTAATTGTTTTTTTATCGTTGCATTGCATTCATTTTACTGAATATAATTTTACAGTCATATTTTTTTTTTAGATTAAAATTTTTTAAATCTTTAAAATATCCTCCTGAAAAAAAAACAAACTTCAAACTAATCCTAAAATTTTTAAATCATATTTTATTTAATTGAAGAAAGAAATATTATCAACTTTACTTCTTGAGCTTTTCTGTCAAGTTCGAGTGTTATACTAAATCCTTGATTAATGAATCGTTTTGAATCAGTACTAAATAAAGATTCGTCCAATGAGCCACATTTGTAACTGTTAATTAGATTAACAATACCACTGTTGTTTAATTGCATTCCGGTCATCGTTAAATTATGTTTAAATTCCAGATATGATAGTGTATAATTGATTGCAAACAATAACTAAAAATAAAAAAAAAAATCTTTTAGTTATAAAACTTAAACTGATAGTAATTGTTGTAATTCAATTGTTAACAGTTCAGTTATAACTAGTTCCAAATGCTAATCATTGAATAATACTGAAGATAATTGAATGATAAAGAATTGTTTTTTATGAAATTCATTATAACGATTAAACTATCTTAATTGTTGGATCAAATATAGACAACGGATCAATCGATAAATGGCAAAACAGAATGATAAAATATGATACGTTATATCTTTATGTTTCATTTTATACGACATAAATATTATTATATATTTCTAAAATATTTGACTAAAAGATTAAAGATTAAAACAATCAAACAAATAAGCGAATTGTAATAATTTCTACATCTGCTTGCTTGTGCATGAGTACTAATATGCTGCAATTGTGTCCACCTTAATTACTAACAAATTAATTGCTTGCATACAAAAATTCAGAATTGTTTGTTACAATAATTATCCAACTGCCTCAATCATTTTCCTAATTACATGTTGTGTTTTTTTTTTATAATTAATTAGTAATAAATATAAAATGATATATTGAATTTGCTAAGAAAAGACTTTGAATAGGAAGGATGTAAGCACTGATATGGAGGAGATATGGAATTTATGAAAATTTCACCTCTTCTTTTCATCTCCATCATCTCCTTTATATCAACTACTTGCTTACATCTTACCCATACAAAGTTTTTTCGTAGCAAATTCAATTATCATTTTATATTTATTACTGTTCATTGTAATTTATTCTTTTTTTTTTTCATTTTAAAAACACGAATCGATATTCTGCTAAAAAAAATTGTCAGAAACATTGCTTAAAAATAGCTAGATTTTGATTAAATAATTGATAAGAATTATTAAAAGATTTCCTTTTAATATTTTATTTGATCGATTGATAGGAAATACCAAAATGGTCGTTTTATAATTTTACTTAATGCTATTTTTCATAATTATAAATTCAAAAATAAAGAATTTTTTTGAAAATTCTGCCAACCTGATCCATACGTACTGAACGAAGCGGATTACATTGCTGAAAATAAAAATAGAGAAAATTTAATCACTTACTAAAAGCTCACCAATGTTGTCAAATTTTTAAAAATGAAACATAAGGATATGAATTATATAAATTAGTAATTATTGTTATTAAAATTTGTTTGTCAATTACTGAAATGAAAAAAAAAATTCTTTTCATTTGATAAATTGGAAGATTGAAAAGGTGCAAGAAGAAAATCCTGGAATATTATAATGAATTATCGTTAAATAACTAACGATTAAATATTTAAAATTGAATTTCAGAAATGATTAAAACCTTCGAATTAATTAAGCAAAATTTGACCTCAGTAGCAGTTTCAATTGAATAAAGTTTCTTGTTAAGTTCAAGAGCATATTGAGCGAGAAATAAATCGAGCATTGGTATATGCTCCCGGTAGAGATAGTTTTCAGTTAATTGATACAATAGAAATAGTAACCAAACCGGTCGTCGTCGTTCCCATCCTTCTAAGGCAAAAAAAAAAGGCGATTATTGTTACAATTAATGATTATATCATATTCAAATGATAAAATCTAAAAAAAATTTAACTTTGATTAAATTTAATAAAAATTTCATTAGTCATATATTCTAAATGTTTTTTGCAATTTAACTAATCGTTCAAAAAATATAGCAATGTTATTATTGTCCATAAATAATTATCGTAATGAGGTTAGATGGTAAACAATGATATTTATCTTGTAATTAGGATTTCTTTTACCGTTTGAAGAAATAACATCAATATGTAAACAATAGTGCAAATAAAACCCATACATTATTACATTTTTCTCGCATTTTATTTGCTATGTAAATAAAATATGAATATGTTAAAAGCAAAAATTATTGTGTTGTATAAATTAACTTTTGATCAATGTAAAACTTACCGACAATATTTTCAAACAATTTTCGTGGACGATTTCTGGTTACCGATCCGGATTGTAAATTTTCTTTCCGATCATATTGCCTTTCTAATCGATTCCGATATATTCTCATATCTCAAGAGTTTTGATAAATTAATTAAAAATTTATGCTTTCAAATTAAGTAAAATAAATTTGCTCCCTAAAAATTTATCCTTTTAATTAATAGATTTTTGGGATTTTTTAAACCATTTTATTATTTCAATCGTATAATACTGTCTCAAAATCTTCAATAGCTAATTTTTTTTCTTTTTTCACATTCAATAATTTATAATCTTTTTTGGTGCAACTTTTTTAGTTTCAAAATCTAACAGCATGTTTGCTTATCTTTCAATTTATTTTTGTTACTTTAGTTTAATATCATGATATCATTAAATTGTTCTCAGCTCCCATAATTTTTTTTTCTCTCTCTTTCTCTCTCCCTATTTGTCTTTCACCAAATTTCAATTTATCATATTTGCTAGTAAAATAATCTGTTTAAATTTCATGTTTAACAGCTAATCCGTTTCTCAGTTTTTTTTTTCGACTATTACAATATAACAGACAAGAATAAATGTTTCAAGTTCATGATCAATTATCAATTATTGTTATTGTTTCACCTGGGTTACCTGTATGTGTTTCAAATTCTATGAATTATTATCCTCTTATAATAAATATAATAAATTTATTGAGACAAAAGACAAACGAGTACAACTTTGAGAAATGCTTAAAACTGGTAAAAATTAAAAAATTAACTTCATAATTTTAAACATAAAAAATTATCAATTTTTAGAATTTGTTCTAATTTTAATGATTCTGTTAAAAACAGTTCCCACTATAATAACTGTTTAAAATGATAAAATTAATTTTAAATATGTGTTATTTGTGATGTTAAAATTTTAATAATGAAAAATTCGAAGCGAAAAATAAAGTATATACAATGTTCAAGCCTCAGATATAATCTGGGCGATAAATAATCCTTCACTGTGCCACCGCCCGGAATATTTTTACATTCCGATAATCGTTCGATTGTATTTGCATTGTAAAGATCCAATTCAAAAACAACAGAATCTGATCGTGAAAATGCTGTTTTTACTTTTTCCGATACTGCAACCAAATGAAATTTACCGATGATATTGATTTGATATGAATCGATTCAATAAATGTGATCAATTTTGATTGAACTATAATGGTCAAAATTATTGCTAAGCTATTAAAATTTAATTTAATTTAATATTAAGAATTGATTAAGTATATTCTGCTCATACGTTTACTATTGATATGATAAAAGTAAATGTTTAAGTGTAAATTGCTTTGAATTTTTGAACTCAACAAAATATTCTGTTGCTTTTGAATTTTTTTTTTTCATTCATAAAATCCATGAACAATAAATTTTACAAACATTGAAGATGACACTTTTTTTTCCATTTTAGAATACATTTTTTTCTTTGATTTGCAACAAAAAAAAAAAAAAA